CCCCGTTATGTATTCTTTTAGCCCTCACCCTCTCCCAACCTACGCTCCTGGAGTCCCCAAAGTCCATTACAGCTAGTGCTCAACTTATGACCACGATTGGTTCTGACAGACCAGTCGTAACACGATTTGGTCGTAAGTTGAGTAGGCTATATGTACAGTACTGTGAAATGATGTTATAACAATCTTTGTCATATTTTATCATAATTTTCTTTCATTGTTATATATCATAATTTTCTTTGTTCATTTTATGCCATTTGTACCATCTCTACACCATTTTGTTTCTTATTTTTACATTCGTCAGGTTTAAGTAAAACACTGCATTACCAGTACAACTGGTTTAATATTTGCAAAACATACAAAATTAGAAAATACAGGTGCAAACAAAAATGCAAAATACAGGTGTAAAAAATACCATAGGAAACATTTTCCCAATTGCAAAACATATCAAAATATATAAACATGTACGAAACATTTTATTGGACGCTGGTGCTTGGCTGCGGATCGTTGATGTCGTCATCTGAGGCAGCAGTTGGGGTTACCGGAGTTGGTTTTTTCATAAACATGGTGAGCTTTGTTTGAATTGTATGTTTCTTTTTTCTTCATAAATTTCACGATACGGACGAAACACATCGTGCGCCATCCGTTCAATCCTTGCAAATCATTTGATGTTTGGGTCCATTGCTTCTAAATGTATAAGAAGTTTATTGGGAGGGATTTGTTGAAAAATATCCAAGACACAAAACACAAATTGCTGTTCTGAGTCTGGGATAACAGTTGAAATGGTGCACGCGGAGATGGTAGTGCTGCCGGAAGCTGTTCCGCACTGTTGTACGCCCAGCTGGGCAACGTTTGCACTGCCAGATGTGGAGCAGTCGTGGTCGTAAAGTTGAATTATCGTAAGTTGCATAGGTCGTAAGTCGATCAATACCTGTATATCACTCTGTATGTATTTGCACCCTCATACCTTAGCACCCACTTACAAGTGAGAACATAAAGTATTTGGTTTTCCATTCCTGAGTTAGTTCCCGTAGAATAATGGCTTCCAGCTCCATCCAAGTTGTTCCAAAAGACATTATTTTGATTCTTTTTATGGCTGAATAGTAATCTATGGTGTATATATGCCACATTTTCTTTATTCACTCTTTGATCAGTGAACACTTAAGAGTCCACGTCTTTGCAATTGCAAATTGTGCTGCAGTAAACATGTGTGTACATGTGTCTTTTCATATAATGACTTCTTTTCCTTTGGGTAGATACCCAGTAGTGGGATTGCTGGATCAAATGGTAGATCTACTTTTAGTTCTTTAAGGAATCTCCATACTGTTTTCCATAGTGGTTGTACCGATTTATATTTCTGGCAGGAGTGTAAACCACATCACGACAACATCAATTTTTTTTTTTTTTTAACTTTTTAATTATGGCCATTCTTGCAGGAGCAAGGTGGTTTCTCATTGTGGTTTTCATTTGCATTTCCCTGGTGGTTAGTGATGCTGTTTGTTTGCTGTTTTTGTATACCTTCTTTTAAGAAATGTCTAATTCCATCCTTTGCCCGCTTTTTGTTGGGATTTTATTTTTCTTGCTGATTTGTTTTGAGTTCCTTGTAGATTCTGGATTCTAGTACTTTGTTGGATGCATAGTTTGCAAATATTTTCTCCCACTCTGCAGGTTGTCTGTTTACTCTGCTGATGATTTCTTTTGCTGTGTAGAAGTTTGTAGTTTAATTAGGTTCCACTTACTTATCTACATTCTAAAAATGTAGAATTTTCATGGTTTCAGGTCTTAAATTTAAGCCTTTGATCCATCTTGAGCTGATTTTTGTATAAGGTGAGAGATGGGGATCTAGATTCCTTCTTCTACATGTGGCTTGCCAGTTTTCCCAGCACCATTTATTGAATAGGGTGTCCTTTCTCCAATTTATGTTTTTGTATGCCTTGTTGAAGATTGGCTGTATTTGGCTTTATTTTGTGGTGCTCTATTCTGATCCACTGGTATTAATGCCTCTTTTTATGCCAGTACCATGCTGTTTTGGTAACTATAGCCTTGTAATATAATTTGAAGTCTGGTCAGGTGATGTACAGGCCTTGTTTGAAAGAAATCACATATTTGACTTATGTGGATAAAGGCAAGTTTCCAACCCCTTACAGCTCTGCCTTTAAAATTTTTGTTAGACTTTCCCTTTTAATATAATTTTGTTGGAATGGGGTATGTTTATTCTTCTGAAAACTTGGATCTCTAATAATTAGTTGACATTAGTTTCCTGATCTTCTACTATGCTGAAGGGAACAGCATGACTGCTTTTATAAACTGAGTTTTATACCTGTTTACCTGTTCTTGTTTAATATACTTTAGAGCTCACTGATTACATTTGCCTAGTTCTACTTTTGTGTGTGTGAGGTGCTGAAGTATCTAGCTCATTAGGAAACTGATTTGTATAGATACTGGCTTTTGTTTATGAGATGATTATATCCCTAACATCAGCATTAATTGTTTGATAAATGAAAAATTTTTTTTTGAGAAGGAGTTTCACTCTTGTTGCTGGAGTGCAATGGCACGATCTTGGCTCACTACAACCTTCATCTCCTGGGTTCAAGTGATTCTCCTGCCTCAGCCTCCCAAGTATCTGGGTTTACAGGCATGTGTCACCATGCCTGGCTAGTTTTGTATTTTTAGTAGAGCCGGTGTTTCACCATGTTGGTCAGGTTGGTCTTGAACTTCTGACCTCAGGTGATCCACCTGCCTTGGTCACCGAAAGTGCTGGGATTACAGGAGTGAGCCACTGTACCTGGCTGAAAATGGTATGTTGTAATGGAAAGAGTGCTGAGTTGGGAGTTAGGATTCATTCTTGTTTTTAACTTTGCAGCTTCCATTTTTGTAGCAAGTTTAATTTACATCTATAGGACTCCTTTTCTTCATCTGTAAAGTTGAAGAGATGAATTTTAATTATTTTTAAAGGTCTATCCTAGTTCATCTGACATTCTATAATTCTTTAATTCTATAGTTTCCTTTCTAGAAAACCAAATATTCTATTAATCGTTGCATACTACTTCCCTCCTGCATAGGAGCTTGGAAAGTTGTGTTTTTATAATCACTCAGTCAGAATTTATCACACATATCATATCCTTTTGTCCACTATTGCTTTCTAAAATTGGTCTCAGCCTATGCTTATCTCTTATTTCTTCTCTGTTTTCCAGCCAGAAAGCTCCAGGATATTATCCCTAGGAGGTGCTTCACACTTACTCTCCATGTTTTTGCTCATGCTATTCCTTTTCTGTGCACTTTTTCCCATCCTGCAGCCACTTTGAGCCCCTATACATTTTATTTATAATTATTTTGGCCTTGTATGATAGTTGTTTATGTATTGTGTTATGCTGTATAGGAGACTGTGAACTTCTTGAGGACAGGTGTTCAGTTTTTCATTACTTTACTAATCTTATTACTGATTCACACAATACTTTTCACATAACAGGGGCACAATATTTATGAAACTGAATATGTAAAACAATTAGAGCTATAGATACAGTCAGACAAAATGCCTTTTTACTATTCATAAATAGTGAAAAATTAACAGGATAGTAAAGAAATTACCATAGCCATTTTGAGTTAAATAAGTATTTTAACCATCCAAAATGACTGCGGATATTTGTATTCCGTGGTTACTTATATAGTATCATTCCTGTCTACCATCTATTCATTCTTACTGATTCATCTATATATTTGTATTTTCTCTGTCACCCATTTAACTGCTTGGCTTCATTTATCATTGTAGTTTAGCAGTGCCATGATCTTAAGCTTTTAATAGTACCTAATTTTGTTAACATTCTTGGTGTGATTTAAATATGTAGTTTCCTGACTTTTGTCTCCTTGGTGTTGGTCATTGGCTTATCTACTTTAATCTTCTGTTGCTCTTCTGTATTGTTCTAACTATTAACATTTCTTTTCACTGGCTCTTTAACTTTTGGGAAATTATTCTCTCCTTAAACACACTTTTTTGGGTTGCTATTTCTGGGTAAAGTTTACTTTGATAAGTATCTTAGAATCAATCTAGTGTTGAGGGTGGGTGGTGGAATTGCTGTTCATCAAAAATGAGCTGAGTATCTTACAGTAGCAGTCCTGGATCCTTTTAATAGTGGAAGAATGTCTGTAATGGTGATGGTAGCATTAGCCCTCTGGTTAAAGGAGTTGATACTGATTATACAAATGAGAGATGTTAACGGAGATTTTTACAAGTGGACTTTTTGATGATTGATTCCCGAATTGTTGAGTTTATCAAAGAGTTTCAAAATGTCCATGCTATGTATGGGTAGAGATGAATCTTTTTCCTTTGGATTCATTAATCTCTTTACTCTTTAATTAATTGTCTCTGGCAGGTTCATGGATGGTTTGGACTGGTTAAAAAGAAAATGGCAAATAAGACAATGAGTAAAAAAACTGAAAATAAATAGGAAAAGCAAAAGATGTATTGTAAAAAGTTGCCTATCTTTGTGTTATTTGGAATTAATAGCCTTATTGAAGGATCCTTGAGAACACTATGTGAAAGAAAGGGACTTGAGAAGATAATGGGAGAAAGTCCAGAGAGAAGTTCTGTTGTACTAAGTTTAAAACCATGTTGATTTTAGTTTTATTTTTATAGCACATCTCAATCTCTTTTTAAGAGCTTACAGTATTAACAGATACTTAAGCTTTTATTTGTACAATAGCAAATAGTAGCTTGTATTTCCCTAAAGTATATTGACATTTAAATAGCTGTCCTCAGAAAGCATATGAATACACTTACTGATACAGTATCTCTTTAAGGATACAAAAGAGGAAACATATGCACTGTTTAACTGTTCTATAAGAAATAGTAAATAAACAAGGAACCCATATCCAAGACTCTTTTCCCTAGTATTTATAATAGAAGCATTTTATAGTAGAAAACAAAATTGCATGTAGACTTAAGAAAAGAATTTTGGTTAATTTTGATTTTAGATAATATTAAGCCATTTATTTTATTTTAACAGGTATCTTTCAGATGAAGGCATTGAAGCTTGCACAAGCTCTCCTGACAAAGTCAATGTAAATGACATCATCCTGATTGCTCTCAATGTAGGTTATATTTATTAACTTGTAAACATTTGAAATCTGGACATTATAAAAGACATAATCTTTTATATATTTATAAAAAAGTCTCAGAATAAATTGGGTTATATGATAACTAATATAGAGAACATCATATTTTGTCCATTTTAACTTGAAGCGATGTTTGTTGAATTTGGTAATCTCATATTAGTAAGTTATTAATATCTATATACAGAATCCGATGAAAAAGAAAAAAATGAAATTAATATTCCTTTTTTCACCTACTGATCAGTTATAGACTTTTTAAACATTCTTATTTATATTTGCTTCTTATTTACATATTATAGCTATGTAATAGTAGTAAAAACTGAATATTCATTAAAATGAATTGCTATTTAATTTACATAGAAACTCTAGGTAGGTTATAACTTTTTGACAGTGGTATTTATTGTTTCAAAATAACTTTTCCGGATTATTTTGGTAACTGATTGTTTCAAAATAATACTTATTATGGAACATTTCAGAAAATACAGAAAAGCAAAATAAGAAAACTAAATCTGCTATAATTGCTATTAATGTTCCAGTGTCTATTTCTTTTCAACTCTCTCCACCCAACCCTCTAGCTGGTTTTTTTCCCCCATAATTGGATTGGCTTTTGGATTTTTTCAAGTTATAAAAATGGTTTGAAATAAAAATGTAAGTTAAACAGGCCAGGCACAGTGGCTCACGCCTATAATCCCAACACTTTGAGGCCGAGGCGGACGGATCATGGGGTCAGGAGTTCAAGACCAGCCTGGCCAATATAGTGAAATCCCATTTCTACTAAAAATACAAAAATTAACTGGGCATGGTGGCTCGTGCCTATAGTCCTAGCTACTTGGGAGGCTGAGGCAGAAGAATTGGGAGAACTTGGGAGGCGAAGGTTGCAGTGAGCTAAAATCACACCACTGCACTCCAGCCTGGGTAACAGAGTGAGACTCTGTCTCAAAAAAAGAAAGAAAAAAAAAGTAAATAAAAAAATGGTTTTTTCTCAGAGAACTATAGTCTGACAAATCCATCATATCACTGCAGAATCAATGTAAAGCAGAAATGATGGCTCTAAGAACATGTAAAATATAAATAAATACATAACTCTAGCTTTTTCTTTTAAAATTACTTAAATTTGGCCGGGCGCGGTGGCTCAAACCTGTAATCCCAGCACTTTGGGAGGCCAAGGCGGGTGGATCACGAGGTCAAGAGATCGAGACCATCCTGGTCAACATGGTGAAACCCCGTCTCTACTAAAAATACAAAAAATTAGCTGGGCATGGTGATGCGTGCCCGTAATCCCAGCTACTCAGGAGGCTGAGGCAGGAGAATTGCCTGAACCCAGGAGGCGGAGGTTGCGGTGAGCCGAGATCGCGCCATTGCACTCCAGCCTGGGTAACATGAGTGAAACTCCGCCTCAAAAAAAAAAAAAAAAAAAATTACTTAAATTTATTTTTATACAATTAAACTTGGGTTTAAACAGATAAAATTTAAGTCCTAAACTGAGTCATTGTTTTTCAACTTCTTTGAATTTTATTTAACAAGACAAGCAAGATCATTTATTTTGGTTTCTGAGCCTTTAAGTATTTAGGTTTTTAATAAATAAAAGACTGCTTTTTTAATGATAGGCGTTAGAAATTATGCATGTTATTTATGACTAAAAATGGTCATATTTCCTAGCTACTTTAGTTTTCTTTGTCTTGCACTCAAATTAGTTAATTCTGTTGTTTAAAAATATTAGAAATAACTCTATTTTCTTGTTTATTTAAGAAAAACTTTCTAAAGATTTTAGGAGAGATTTTATGACAATTTGCTGCTTTTCTTTTCTTATATACGCAGGTAAATACCAATAAACTATAATTGGTATGAAAATTTGAATAAAATAAATCAAGATAAAATATTTATGCTGAGCACATAAGAGGTGCATGCTATTATCTGAATGAATTAATTTGTCTTTTTTATTTTCTCTGAAATTTGTGTTTAAATACTCCAGACCAAAGCTATGATGTCATATTATAGGAAAAAAACCTTTTTAATTAGGATGAAGCCTGTAGCAGACAAATAATCTATTTTTCTAAGTTTGTCATCTTTTAATCAAATTTAGACATTTATAGTATCCTGTTGAATTTTTTTCAACTTTTGAGTGATTGTGGGAAATTAACCACTAGTTGAAAAACACTTGTATTATTGATTGTTATTGTGCATATATGTACCTACACATGCATAGCTAATTATATATTGGGAGAATAATTCATGAATAAGTTTTCTTCTATTCTTTCTCTGGGGTACACACTGAGCTTGTTCCTTTATCTAACAATGAACAGTGCAGTAACATGTATATGGAATTTCTCTTCAGGGAAGCCCACTGGAGGCTAGTACTGAAGTCTTTTATTAAGCTGCCTGCAAAGGTATCTTCTGCGTAGCATATACCAAAATTTCAGACCCCTCCCAGAAAACAGATGTCCATCATAAATCATATTGTTTATATGAATAATCTATGTAGTGAACCACATTTTTAGTTAGGGAATGGTCCAAGTGCAAAGTCCCCAGCTGCCAGCCTAGGATTAACCTTGTAAGCTTGCCTTTCTAAAGATAGCTGCCTCAGACCTGCTATGTAACTTTTAGGCTTATATTTTTTGTGTTGAAAAGGAATGTTTTACATTTTTTGCTTTTTAAAGTGGGGAGTTAGAATATTAAGAAATGACATTGAAATCTGGCATGTAAGTTTTACATTCAAATACCAGAATTATTCAGAAAAATATTTAACGATAGCTCAGTCTTAAATTACTGATCACTATGCATTAGTAAAAATTTAAAAACAAATTATATTTTATTTCTTTTAAGATTCTGTATAATATAAAATGATTTTCCAAATATTCTCTTGAATTTACTTAAATAAATAGAAATTTTGTGTGTGTGTGTGTGTATGTGCGTGTGCGTATGTGTCTGTATGTATTTGTGCGTGTGTGTGTGTATGGGTAGGTAGATGCTTTGAAAATTATTTTTAAAGTTTTATAGGCAAAACATTTTTCTGTATTATTATTTTTTGTCGTTCAGTATAACAGCATTCTTGGATCCAGTCATCGTCGTAGCAATTTTGATATAATGGCATCTGAATAATAACATTGTCTTTATAGTACTTACATGTTGAGTTGAATTTAGGACATTTAAATATTTGGTAGATCATTTTCATCTTGCTAAAAAGGCATCAAAATAGCATTTATATATTCAAGGACACATAGTATATATTTGTATGGCACTTTAGAAATTCTGTAAACTTTGAGTGTATAGTCTTTTTTTAGCCTGACAACAACTTTGTGAGATAGGGTTGGTGGTGCTTTTCCGTTTTAGATAGGAGTAAATTAGCTAGGTGTAGAGAATTAATGACAGTGTCCTAGATCATATGATTGCTTAATTACAGTTGGGATGGATCAAAGTTTAGGATTGTTGTCTGGTGCTCATTTATTTTATAGTGATGCCTCATTTTCCTTTGAATTAAATTTCATAATTATTGAGAAAAACCAGAAATTAGGGATCATGATATATTATAAAATTTTTATGTGTTCTGTTTTTCATTCATATTTAAATATTTCAGCTTTTTGGTAACTTCAAAATAATGTAAATGTTTTTATGAAGTGTTAGTTACATTATTGATATGATGGTTATGTATGTTAAGATGATTTTAAAAAGTAGATGTTTTATACTCACTAAAATAAACATGTTGGCTAACATTTATTAAGTGCTTACTCTGCAAGTCATTACACTGAGTGCTTTGCATCTATTAACATTTAATTTTAAAACAGTCGTAATATAGGAAAGACTGCTGTAAAAAAGTGTTTTTTTAACCGTATGTTATTCAGTACTTTCCAAGTGAAAAGACATACAACGTGAGGTGCAGTATATATTTCTTTTCATTTAGTTATTGGATTGAGGCAGCAAAAAGCCTATCTAAAGCATTGTTACCCAGGTGCCTGGATTTGGCTCTTAATTTGCCATGCACTTCTCTTCAGTGAGTTTTAATTTGAGTGATCCCTGCATTACATAAAGGAATAAATTATGATTCACAGTAGTAAAAAACTGGAAAGAATCTGTGGGGATTATATAACTTATAGTCTTGTTTCTTAAGCTGGCCACATGTGGATATTTCAAATAGGAGGATATCCTATTATTGTAGGTGTTCAAATAAGATGGTCCTGCCCCTCTGTGTGTATTTATTTCACATCACAGTAATTGTAATCATCTAGTGTTTTCTCCTTAAGTCTAACAAAAAATTTTCCCTTATAATTTATGTGGTTAAATGAACTCTAAGTCTGTTTTCTTTTATCTTGTTCTTAAGGTGATGAAGAGCTAATGTTTATTATAAGGAAAAGTAAAACAATGCAACTTTAGTTATACTAATCTCACTATCTCAAGCATCAAGTTAATTTCTTAGTTTAAATAACTGGACTTTTTTTTATGAGTACTGATAGTTTTCCTATGAACAAATTTCTTACCATTCCTTTATATTTTCACTTTCTAAAGAGGACACAGTCCTGCAGTGTTCTGCTTTGTATGTAGATTGTGTAGTAAAAATTTTCTTTTTTTATGTCATGAATGCTATAACCTTGTTTATGTTAGTCCTTATATTTTCCTTGCTGAGTTACAAGTACTTCTGCATTTTCATATTTCATTTGTTTACCAACTTCGATTTCTGTAAATTGTTTAAGCAAATGAAATTACCATAGTAAAGGTTACTGTAACTTCTTTGGTATTCCAGTGGTATTGTTTCCTGGGATATTGTATGTTATGTAGCTTTATATTATAGATATTATAGCCTATAGGGTGATATGTTTTTATGTAATGTGAAGGTTATATGGGATTCAGTTTTTAAAAATATACTATGCGTATTTATTCAAAAGCTGTCATTTGATCTTGGAAGGTAACATTAATTTTTTAGTAAGATCATAATTTACATAAATTAAGTTTTAGATTTTAATAGAGAAGAGTTACTTTGTTAAAAGGTTACCTAAAGAAATATGACCAGGATTGAGGCCTTATATGTTACTGTTCATCTTACTGGTATACTTAAAACAACGTATTATGGGGCTATGTTACTTGAAAGATTCATAACATAGATAGATCTCATGACCAGTTAAAACGAAGTGATTTTTTGTTTCACAAACCATAAATAATTTCATCTTTTGTTCATGAGATTAGATTTAAATTTACTCTTTTCTATAATTCCATTTTAATAATAATATTTTTATTTTAGACAGATCTGAGAACAATTGGCAAGAAATTCCTCCCCGCTGACATCAATAGTGGAAAGGTAGAAAAGGTAAAGAAAATCAATAACTTCTTAAATTATGCTAACTACAATAAATATGAACTAAATTACTGGAATTATTTTTTGTCAATAAAGGCTGCAAACTCTGGACGTGAACAGGTCCAAAGTCATTGTTATGGTGACTTCCATGGAAAATTATTAAGAGTTAAACTTTTGGTGGCTTTTCAATATTAAAAAAAAAAACCTTTGTTTCAGGAATTGTAACTATGATATGCTTACATGAACTGTGAGACTTACCAGATGTAATTGGTGCCCTTTACAAGGACCTTTTCTTATCTATCAATTTTTTTACCTTTTTATTTTAGTTATAGTAATAAACTATTATATTTATTTAATGAACTTATTATATGCAAATATAAGATGAGGAAAGAATATTAGGAGCAATTTGATGAAGCTGTGGATTTGTTTATTGCCGTCATTTTGCAGTACACACATATGTGTTCGTGTTACTAAATTTTTTTGTGTCAGCAAATTATATTTTTACCTGAATGTTTAATGCTGCAAGTTTAAGTTTATAATGTCTTTGTTTTTCATCAGGGGAAATGAAGTACATCTGGTTATCTTCCTTTGGGAATAATTATATACTTGAAGACATAAATGTCACTGCCACAGGTTTCTTTTTGTGAAAGCCATCTATCTTGATTCCTTTATTTATTCTCAGTCTCAAGCTTTTCTTTCATCTCTATTGTTCTTCTTAGAATCCTCTCCAGTTTCTTTACAGTTCTTTTTCTTTTGGTTATAGTAGCTATCTCAAACTTCAGTGTGCACCAGAATTTGCTGCAGGTCTGGCTAGAACACAAATTGCTGGACCTCAAGCCACCTCTAGTCCCTTCTGAGTTTCTGATTCATTAAGGCTAGGATGGAATCCAAGAATTTGCATTTTGAACAGTTTTCCAGGAGTTGTAGAATTCTGGGAAGCATACTTAAAAAAGTAGGCAACAGTCTTGACTAGATCTTTTGAGTGCAACAAATCTCTATAGGAAAAGTAAATAATGTCAAAGCAGTGTCTGTACATCCTTACATTATTTTACTTAAGAAAATTTTGAAGCTTTCTAGATTCTTGGTTTTCTGCTTTCTCTGTGTGTCCTAAAAGATGTTGAGAACTCACCTCTGCTGCAAGCTCATGGGATAGTAATACGGAGACTCTTATCTGTTCCCTTCACTCTTTCAGAATGTTTTTGCTTTTAAAAGTTTTGCACAGTGATCTTTGAATGTAGCTAACAAGAAGAAAAAGAATCTTAAAACTTTCTCATCTAGATTATTCTGTGTAAAACTTTATCTTTGAAAATATTATTAATGCAAATGTAACTTTTCACATGAAAAAAATTTGATATTTCTGCTGTTCCTCTTTGATTATATTTTTTCTTACATTACCTACTTCCAATACAATATTATTAATAAACTAATAGTTCTAGAATTATTATTTTCACATAATTCTTCTTTTTTTTTTTTAATAGAGTTTTGCCCTGTTGCCCAGGTTGAAGTTCAGTGATGTGATCCCCTGCCTCCTGGGTTCAGGTGATTGTCCTGCCTCAGCCCCCTGAGTAGCTGGGACTATAGGCACGCACCACCATGCCCGGCTAATTTTTGTAGTTTTAGTAGAGATAGGATTTCTCTGCGTTGGCCAGTCTGGCCTCAAACTCCTGATCTCAAGTCATCCTTCCACCTTGGCCTCCCAAAGTACTGGAGTTATAGGTGTGAGCTGCCATGCCTGGCCTTTTCACGTAATTATTCTTATTTATATTATGTTATATTATATTTATGTGATTAATATATAATTAATCACAGAATTAATAATTGTCTTCACCAGTATTAGTGAAGATATTTAGAAAAATAATTTAAATAACCATTTTAGAAGTTGACACACAGAAATTACTCATTTGGTTTGCCTTACATTGAGATATCACTTCACACCAGTTAGAATGGCGATCATTAAAAAATCTGGAGACAACCGATGCTGGAGAGGATGTGGAGAAATATAACGCTTTTACACTGTTGGTAGGAGTGTAAATTAATTCAACCATTGTGGAAGACAGTGTGGTGATTCCTTAAGGATCTAGAACTAGAAATACCATTTGACCCAGCAATCTCATTACTGGATATAAACCCAAAGGATTATAAATCTTTCTATTGTAAAGACACATGAACATGTATGTTTATTGTGGCACTGTTCACAATAGCAAAGACTTGGAACCAACTCAAATGCCCATCAATGATAGACTGGGTAAAGAAGATGTGGCACATATACACCATGGAATACTATGCAGCCATAAAAAAGGATGAGTTAATGTCCTTTGCAGGGACATGGATGAAACTGGAAACCATCATTCTCAGCAAACTGACACAAGAACAGAAAATCAAACACCGCATGTTCTCACTCATAAGTGGGTGTTGAACAATGAGAACACATGGACACAGGGAGGGGAACATCACATACCAGGGCCTGGGGTTGGCGGACTAGAGGAGGAATAGCATGGCGTGTGGGGGTTGGGGAGAGATAGCATTAGGAGAAATACCTAATGTAGATGACAGGGTAATGGATGCAGCAAACCACCACGGCACATGTATATCTGTGTAATAAACCTGCACTATCTCCACATGTACACCAGAACTTGAAAGTATAATAAAAAAAAAAAGTCACTATCTTCAGCCAAAGTAAATATTTAAGGAATGTATTTTTGATGTGAATTGAATTATTTTGGCTTCTTTGTTAGTAAAATAAGACTAATGTAGTAAAAGTTCCTTATTTATGTCTTCATTGGAATGCTTTATTAACCAGCATTTTACCATGAATGATGACTATAAATACATGACTCAAGAATCAGTCACTACCGCTCGGTTACTAACATTATGTAAGTTATAGTTTTTGTTTAACTCGGTTTTAATCTGTGAATAAGATATAGAACAACATTTGGCAAACAGAATATTTGAATGAGTAATCTGCCTGTATCTCTTGACCATGCCAGATTTTGGTATAAAATTATATTTTCTAGTTCTTCTTTTTTTTAAAAAATATATTAGAACAGAGTGAAAGAAAGAAAGAGCTGGGTTATCTAGTGATCGTTCAATTAGGGCATGCTAGAAACCAAAGTTCCAAAAACCAACTTAGAAAATTTAAAATATACGATAGACCAGCTATTTCAAGAAGCAGAGGAAGCACGGTTGTGACATGTTTCTGACTGAGGGTGGAGGGGAATTAAATGATGGGGACCAGGAACAGATTGGAAAGTCCAGACATAGGGTCATTGCCCTGGATTTAAATCTTCTTTTTCCTGCTTATTAGTTTTTGTGACTTTTCATAAGTTAGTTAATCTTGCTAGATTTTAAATTCCTTATTTAAATGCTACTCCCTTACGACATTGAAGACCTCAATGAGATAATGTACTTGAAACACTAAATAGTACAATGCAAATGGCAAGCTTTGAGAATTATGAGCAATTTAGGACAGTATTTTTGTCTTGGAAGTCTAAGAATATATGAATCCTTATTATGTCAGTTAGGTATCTTATTACTGAGTGATCTTCAAGGGGATTCAGTGAATAAGGTAAATTGGTAAATCATTATTGTCTGGGTTTTGGTCCCAAACCCCATGCAGAACGCTACTACTTGAGGTAGGTTGGTCTCTGTGGTAGAACTAAGGCAAGCTAAAAGCCCTGCTCTGTTTCTACTAAGCTCCAAGCCCATCTGATACTACCATTTCTGAGAGAGAAAGCCAAAGGAGAGTGAGGACTGGAGAGCATTTGATCCAATATTTAAGAAGCAGTTAAAAAGCAACAGGTAGGGGGAGGAGGCTGTCATCTTAGTAGAAGCCACCGCTATTAACCTTGTGTGGTCCCTTTGCAAGAGCCTCACCCATGTATTTTCCAATCGCCTTGGAATCTCATTCACTAGGCCTGAGGCTCACTACAATACTCTGGAGCTTTCCCAAGACAAATCATTAATCCTTTTTGGAGGTAGATTAAAGGAGTGTGGAGAGAAGTCTTCAAACTTCATGCCCAAAGTAAATGATCACACAGTGTGTATTATTATTTTTGTAATTAGCAAAACTTCGACAATGCTGTTTTCAGCCTTTGGGAACTTGAGAATGGAAAGGGAGAATGGGGAGCTGATATCTGTGATTGGGTAAGAAAGATTCTAAGTCTGTAGTTAGAAGACAGCTAATCCTGGGCACATTGAATTTACATCTCCCATTCTAAGACACATCACAGGCCTTCAGAAAGGCGTTGTCCTGAAGCTTTGAAACTGAAGTCTTAGTAATGACTATTATCACTGATTATTTTGGGAGAAGGTAGAATGGGAAAAAGTAGAAGTAACTTTATTACTAATAAATATAGTGGTTTTGCTCAGGTTCTTTTCTCTTTCTTCTATTCGCTTAACATTATTTTTCAATTTTTATCTTTTCTCCGCAAAGTTCCCCCAGAACCTTGATGCAAAAGTTTCAGAAAAATTTAAAAACTGGTGACAGTTGGGTGATGACAACTTTTTCCAGGCTTTCAGATTTTCTTATAGGCACTTTATATCTGATTCAAAAGCTGTAAAAAGTGTGAGTGGAGGTAAGTATGTTAGGGAAGCTGTATTTTGCAACTGCTTTTCTGAGTTTTTCAGGGCATGCGTTATTTTTCTCAGATATTACCAAGTCCTACGACTGCTCTTGCAGCTCATAGGATAAAAATTATGAAAAAAGTCATGATAAAAAGGAAGTATAACTGTTAATATTCTTAATATTCTTCTATTTTAATATCTTGCTGTAGCTTTTTAAACCAAGGTATAAAAGTTAATAATAAAATATAGTTTAGTTGAAAATACTTTGTTACCAATACAGCTACCTGAGGACCTCATGTACTGCAATGGAGTCCTAACTGTACAGTCTTTCAGTTCTGTGTTTATTTTTTCTAAGTTTTAAGAATGACAGGTTATATGTATGCCTTTTTAAATGTAAAACTATGATTAAGACCTCATTTTCCCAAGTAGGAGTGACTGTCTCAAACCTC